GAAAGACAACAGTAAGTGTGGAAAATCAAGTTGGGTTGAGTCACTGTCTTTGTTCATGTCAACCCATGGATTGGGTTGGCTTGAAATTGCTGAGCCCGGGTAACTGTTTGAAATGAGGGCACCTCAGCTGGGAGGGCTAAGCCCTGACCCAGACCCCACCAGACTTGTGCTCCAGACCCTTCACCACCTTCGTTGCCCTTCTCTGGACTCGCTCCAGCACCTCAAGGTCTTTCTCGTCGTGAGGGGCCCAGAACTGAACACAGCACTCGAGGTGCGGTCTCACTAGTGCCCAGTACAGGGGGACGATCACTGCCCTGGTCCTGCTGGCCACACTATTCCCGATACAAGCCAGGATACCACTGGCCTTCTTGGCTACCTGAGCACACTGCTGGCTCATGTTCAGCCGGCTGTCGACCAACACCCCCAGGTCTTTTTCTGCCTGACCACTTTCTAACCACTCTTCCCCCAGCCTGTAACGCTGCATGGGGGTTTTGTGGCTGAAGTGTAGGATCTGGCACTTGTTCTTGTTGAACCTCATGCCCTTGGTCTCAGCCCATCTGTCCAGCCTGCCCAGGTCCCTCTGGAGGGCCTCCAGCAGATCAACACTCCCACCTAACTTGGTGTCATCTGCAAATTTCCTGAGGGTGCCCTCAATCCCCTCCTCCAGATCATCTATAAAGATGTTAAAGAGCACTGGTCCCAAAACCGACCCCTGGGGAGCATCGCTAGTGACCGGCCACCAACTGGATTTAGCTCAGTTGACCACAACTCTCTGGGCCTGGCCATTCAGCCAGTTTTTTACCCATCGAAGAGTCCAGCTATAAGGTAAGGGCTTGTGGATAAATAACTCACTGAAGAATAGGAAACAAGGGCTGGCTTTCAGAGTGGAGATGGGTTGTCCGCGGTATCTGCTTTTCACCATGCTACTAATGATTAACTGGGAAAGCAGCACAGTGCACTGAGGATACATGTTTAGGGCAGTCAAAATGAAAGCAAGTTGTGAAGAGGTACAAAAGGATCTTCTAGTCCTGAGTAACCGGACAGTTAAATACATGTTATTGAATTATGGTAGGTGGACTAATGACAGCCTGAAGGCTCTGAATTAGCTGTTACCCTGCGGGAGGTCGATGTTGGAGTGAAAATGGCAGCTAGGAAGCAGTGAGGGCAGATACACACTCTCAGACTGGCTGGACAGTATTTGGGGAGTGTAGGGGTATCCCAGTGTGTTTGTGGTGCTGTTAAACTCCCCTCAAGGCTACTGGCAGATCTTGGTCTGAGCCAGTGCGTTGTAACGCAGACCCAGCTTATGCCCAGGCTGACCCTGGTGTGACCATGACCTCCAGCCATGGTGGCTGGAGCAGAAGGCCAGGTCTCAGGCTGTCAGATCTAAGGCTTGGCCTGCCATGCCTGAGCGTGAGTAGGGCAGGAGCTGTGAGCAGTAAAGAATAGATAGGCTTGATGGGCAATCAGTCTCAAATCTTCTGAATCAACTGGAGACTCTCCCATGGCAGTGAGGGATCACAACACCTGTGGTGGGCATGGGATGGGGATGCATCACCATCCAGTTCTCCTGCCAGGCATGATAATACAGTACCTAGGGAGAGCCTGAAGAGCTATTTGCTCTTGATGATCCTATGCTGGGTGAGATTTCCAAGAAAATGGCTCTCTGGAAGCTGCCTTTTTTTTTCGCAGGAGAAGCAGCCATTTCCCACTCCCCTGACACAGCCAGCCCAATGTTAACACCAATCTCTCTTCTCCACCAGTGCTGACCCAAACAGCAGCTTGACTTAAGAGCTTCTGTTTGGCAACATGTGTAAATCTAAAATGACTCTGTAAGAATCAATGTAAGTTTTTCATGTAAGCGCAGAGTCTGCACATAGCAAAAGTAGAGAAAGCGAAGCAGAGCAGAGGAAAGGAAGGAGAGCCAGCTCATCTAAACCCAATACAGTGAGCTTGACACCACTCCCCACAAAACCTAAGGGCAGATCTGATTCTCACTTTACTCATGGGAAAATTAAGCTGTTCCTCATGCACACACTCTCTCACCGTCTGTCTTTCTCTTTTCCTAACACTCTCAGTGAGTTCTATCACTAGTTAGCCACTCTTGCTGTAATTTTCTTTAAATTGATATGGGACAACCCTCCAGATTCTCGGGGATCCCTTTGTCAGAGAAATGCCTGGGGATACGGTCCCTGTTTGATGAGATTGTGAGCTGCTAAATTAACACAACTGACTAAAGATATGATTCTTTCTTTGTAGTAGAAAACCTTTTTTACCATCAACTATTTTAAAGGTACCCTATAACAAAATATGTATGCTTGTACATTCATGTTCCTGGATTCTATTTACTGTCAAGTAATACTCTGAATTTATTAATATTGTGATCTATGGGTATGTCTCGTGGGGAACTTGGACCTTAGCCTGTGTGTTTGCTACCCTGAAACTTTGAGCCCCCAATTGTGTAGGCATCACTTGAACTAACATTTCTGAATTAGTTTCGTTTTTGCACTCTCTAAGTCTGCATGTGGCTCTGAGTCACATGCAAAAGTCCTACAAAGAACAGCATCCATTTTAGTTCTTGCCCTGGAGGTGGACAACTGCCCAGTTCCCAAGACAACACATACAGCCCTTGTCAGCCTCAGCTTTCACTTCTGCTCTCCCTGTCCTCTTACATTGTCTAATATTCTCCAATATGCCAGTCCTTACATCCCTCAAATGCTGCTTGGTGGAGAAGCTCCTGGGTTCCACTGCTGGGGATCTGAGGTGTACAAGGGTGCGGTGACATCCAGGGAGCTGGTGGCACCTTGCAGGGACATGTGCAGTCCCTTTTCTCCCCCAGCCCCTTTCCCTTGGGAGGGATGTTGACATCTCTCACCTGTACTGTTCGTTGGCTTTCAGCTTCCCGTTGCATGTTGCCCTGGACTGGCCACACTCCTCTGTTCCCACTGGCACTCGCCAGGTTTCGGGGGAGCTCCTGGGGCTCGAATGGAAGGGATTGGGGATTAGCACAGCCAGGTAGGAGTCCTCTGTCCCATAATAGTGGTCATACCATGTGCTGGACATGATTTCCTGGGTGGGCCTCAGCACTGAAGGGGAATGTACAAGGTGACAGTGGCAGTCCCAAAGTGACATCCAGGGGACCTGCTGCCCTCCAGGGAGCCACTGCAGATTGGGATGTGCAGGGGCACTTACGTGAATCATTAGTGGTGGCAATGACACCATAATACTCGATCTGGCCATTCTCCTCGCTGAACAGGTCGGATGAAATGATAACCGTGGAGCTGGCCTCCACCTTGAAGATGTCTGCTCGCAGGGGTGGAGGCAGGGCTGGAAAAAGAATGAGCAAGCATAGCTTGTTAGTGTGTCCCTGCTCCCACAGGCCCACCACACATTGCTCAACCTGTGACTGGTCCCAGCATCACTGCCCAGAGCCTTGACCCCTGCAGGACCACATGGGGCTCACAGGCATCTGAAAGAGTCTCCAGGTCTAATTAGCAACACTGGGTGTTTTCTCCTGGGATCTGTGGCAAGGTTGTGGGAAAGAAGGGGACTCACCCTCCACTGTTGTGTTGCAGAGCAGAGTCACAGCCTGGCTCCTCATTGTGTTCATACCCACTGTGCTCACAACAATCCGGTAGGACGAGTTTGGCCCCAGCCCCTCCAGACTGGCCTCGCTCGTAGGGATGATCATGACATACTTGGAGGTGGGAGCTCCATCAGAGACCCTCTCTGTCACCACCTCATAAGCCTCCACATCTCCAGGAGAGCTAGTCCAGTTCAAGTAAATGCTCCTTGACTCTGGTAAGCACTGCACATCCTCCACTGGGTTTGGCTCTGCGAAGGAGATATGGCTCTGAACTTAATGGATCAGAGAAATCCCAGCCTCAGCCCATGCATCAGCCCAGAGCCACTATGGTCCTCTACTGCCTGTCCCTAGGTCAATGAGAGAGGAGCAGAGCTGGACATCTGCAACCTGGGAGCCTCTGTGCCAAGGGCCACAGGACAAGGTGGATGGGTTAGGGCTTGAGCAGATGTCTTATAGGAGAAGCAGACCAATGGAGATCTCTGCAGAGTCCGCTTTGCTTCACAGGTAGCCAGGCCACAAGGTGATGGGAAATCTCTCTGATGGGGCTAGCTTAGGGAGCTGGTGGCTGCCAGAGGGTCACCTTGCTGGCTTTCCTTATCTCCCACCATGAAGACTTCCCATGCTTCTGTTGACACCCAAGGGCTGATCCAGTCTGGAGGCCACCCAGGCGTTTCTCCCCATTCCAGCCTGCACTCCCCTCATCCCCACAGCAATGCATACCCACCCATCGGCACTGCCAAGGGTTTGGTGCTGCTCCAGTAGGGCCCGGCCACGCAGCTCAAGGAGACGGAGTAGTTCCTCCCTGGGATCAGACCTTGGAGGAGGTGCTGGACTTGCCCTCTGCCCAGGCTGTGTCGCCAAGGCAGCGTGCTGTTCCTGGGATCCCGCAGCCACAGCTGGCAGTCATCCTGCTGTCCAGGAACACTGCCCCAGGAGATGAGCATGGTGTTGTTCCCTTCAGCCACCGCAGAGAGATTTTTGGGAACTGAGGGGGCTACAATGAAAACCACACCAGGGGAGAGTTACTGGCTTGCACATACTCTCACCTGTCCTTTAGAGATACAAGTAGAAGATGGGTAATACACAAGGAGACTTCATATGTTCAGTGATAACATTTCTGCAGCTGCTGGCTGCCTCTACCAGAAACGGCCTTTAAATGGCAATTGGAGGACATGCAGAGTGAGGAGCATGAGGACATGGGTTCTTCCTCCTGCTAATTAGCAAGCTTCGTTAGAGACCTGCCTGAAGGACTCTGCACATGACTCCTAGCACCCTGCCAGGGGCTGGTTGAGCGTGGGAGCAGAGACCTCTGGATTCCCCAAGCAAAATGCAGGGACTGTGGGGACAAGCACATGAAAAGGCTTATTGTGCTTATCTGCAATTTCCACATTCCTTAAAAAAAAACCAAACCCAAACCAGTCTCCTCTTATCCCCCATGCCAGGAATTTTCTGAGTGCCTGGGAGAAAGGCAGCGGAGATGGTGGGGTGTCCTCCCCTGGCTGTGAGGTCTCGTGGTCTCCCAGGCTGTGGGTGTCCTCTACCAGAGCAGCACTACTGCCATGGGATCCCTTTCTCTTGTTCAGTCACCCGTGTCTGGAGGAGCCAGCTTGTGTGAACAGCGGGGCCACAAGCTGGAGGTCTGCCTCCTGAAACATCAACCATGGCTGCCAGACTGTCCTATGGGCAGCCGTTTTGCCCTGCTCTCCCCTCCACCAGGGCCTTGCACAGCCCATGATCCCATTGCTTCGGTGGTACCTACAGCTTCCAGGCAGCAGTCGTAGCCATGTCCCTGCCCCTTCCCACCTCAGCTGCTGAGCCCACCCAGCTGGGGAAGGTTGAGCCTCACAAATGATGCAGGGACCTCCAGCTCTTGCCACTTACTTGTCCAGTCACTGATGTTTCCTGCAGAGGCTGTGTACGGCCCTGCCACGGACACCACTTCCAGCAGGTATTTGTGTCCTGGAGCCAGGCCAGAAAAGGTGAATTTGCTGGTGCCTTTCCCAACAGTTACATTGGCTGCCACAATACCTGATCCCGAATGATACAGGAGGAGCCTGTAACTGTCTTGTCCTAGGGGTTCAGCTCGCCAGGACGTGCTCAGCCTGTTGGGATACCCCTGGTTCGTCATGTACACATTACGAGGTGCCAGGGGGTCTGGAGAGACAGGATGGGAGATGTGTCAGTGAAGGATCTGATACCCACCGCCGGGGTATCTTGGCAGTGTTGTCAGAAGGGATGCACCATACAGGACAGGGCACTTCATCTTGGCTGAATGGCTTCAGCTCGCCAGGACGTGCTCAGCCTGTTGGGATACCCCTGGTTCGTCATGTACACATTACGAGGTGCCAGGGGGTCTGGAGAGACAGGATGGGAGATGTGTCAGTGAAGGATCTGATACCCACCGCCGGGGTATCTTGGCAGTGTTGTCAGAAGGGATGCACCATACAGGACAGGGCACTTCATCTTGGCTGAATGGCGGCATCCACCAGCCTTGAGGCAGCTAAAAGCAGCTTCTGCAAGCTTCAAGTGGTGCCTGTCTGAGCAGAGACAGCCCTGTCCCAGCTGGAGCGAGACACCTGGAGACGGGTGAGGAGGGAGCACCCAGCCAGCTAGAGGGGAGGGAAAGGCGACCACCCCTGTCTGCTGCTCCCTCCTCTGCACCTCTCCTCTGAAGTACAGCTCCTGGAGCTTCAGCTGGCCTAATCTAGGCTGGTGGAGCTGATGGTGAGGGTGAGCAGAGCCCTGCTCAGTGTCATGGCACTGACATGCCCTTGGGTTCAGGTAGAACTTGGGGTCTGCCATGAAGGTCAGTGGGACCATGTCCTTTGCCATCAGCTTTCGTGACTCCCCAGTAAAGCACACATCACCCTCAAAACTGGGTACTCACACGTCCAGTTGCTGACATTCCCTGCAGGCGTCTGGTAGGACCCTGCCATGGACACCACCTCCAGCACATACTTGCTTCCTGGGGCCAGTCCCATGAAGGTGAAGTTGTGGGTGTCTTTCCCAAGCAAGGTGGTAGCTGCCACGGTGCCCAGCCGTGCATGGTACAGGGTCAGTGCGTAGCCCTCTCGGCCCCCGGCTGCAGCTTCCCAGAACGCGCTCAGTCTGTCAGGGTGCCCTGTGCTCAGCAAGCGCACGGCGGCTGGGGGCAGTGGGCCTGGGGAGTCACCAGAACTGATGTTAGGGACTGGAGACCATGCAGAAGGAAACAGACATGATGGGACATTGTGCAGCAGGTCAGATGCTCCCTGAGGGCTGGGACTTGTAGACCCTCTCTGGTACACTCCTCCTTCTAGCTGTTCTCTTTTCCATCCCCGTCCCACCTCACCTTTAATGCTGCTCACTGTTTGTGGTACCCCACACGCCAGCCCTTCTTCATCCAGGCCACTCTCATCCCCATAGCCCAGCTGAGAGACTTTGTCGCCACTGCGTGCAGCTGCCTGGGCAGAGCTGGCACAGCATCTGTACTCTGTCCAACCCTAAAATCTTTCCGGGTGAGGAGAAGTGCTGGACTAGTTCCTCTCCAGAGCAAAGACCTGTTCTTCTCGGAGGACTGTGGATTAACCTCTTGTACTACACTGACTCATTTCATGAACCTTTATGGTAATGTAGTTTCTACCTGCAGGAGGAGACTCAGGGAGGGCATGAGTGCTCCTGTATATGGGGAGATGGGGCAGCATGGGCAGGAGGATGTCCCCACGTAGGCACAGCTGGCCAATGCTGCGTGTCATCAGCATGTACTTCTGCAAGTCTACAGCTGAACATCCATGTGCCCATGAGGATAACAGTGTGCCCCTGCATTAACTGCTGCATGTTGCATCCATGCACATGTGTGTGAACATTCCCAAAGGCACCAGGTCTCCTGTAAACACCTCAGCCCTCCTCAGGACTGCCCAGTGGTGCAACATCTCCCACCCCTCTGCAGGGGACACTCCTCCAGGCACTCACGTGTCCAGCCACTGATGCTGGGTGCTGCTGCCTGGTATGGTCCAGCTGTGGCACTGGCTTGCAGGGAGTACTTGTATCCTGGGGTCAGACCCATGAAGGTGAAGTTGTGAATGTCTCTCCTGAGTGAGGCTGTAGCTGCCACGGTGCCCAGCCGCGTGTGGTACAGGGTCAGTGTGTAGCCATCTCGCCCACCAGCTGCAGCTCCCCAGGATGCGCTCAGCCTGTCGGGGTGCCCTGTGCTCAACCAATGCACAGCAGTTGGGGGCAGAGGGCCTGGGAAGGAAACGCAAGTCACTGCCAGGAGCCACGTCTGGGCTGATGCAAAGGAGATGCTCCATGTCTGTACCAAGCCTGTGCTGCAGGGTTGCAAAGGTCCTGCTTTGCCCTTGACTCTATGTCATCTGCCTCCTCCCTGATGCTGCCTGAGCCTGTGGATGGCTACCAAAGACATGGGTGGCCAGGCCACAGGGTCATGCACAGATTCTCCATGCTGCATCCAGCAAAGCATGAGCACTGGGCGCTTGTGTGGATGGGAGAGGAAGGCAGGATCTGGCTGCACCAGTATGGCCTCTGATTTGAACTGGGAAGGGGGAGATCTGGTGAAGGACTCCTGGCTACAAGGAGAACATCATACTCACGTGTGCAGTGGGTGAGGTTGGGGGTGCTGGTGTGGAAAGGTCCAGCTGTGGCCCTCACTGCCACCCTGTAGCGGGTGCCAGGGCTCAGATTCCTGAAGATGTGACTCCTGGCATCCCCACCCAGCACCATGTGCCCAACACGACTGCTGGAGGCTGTGTCATAGATATCCACCACATAGCCTTCTGCTCCTCGCCCCATTGCTGCCCAGGAGGCCTGCAGTGTGGAGGCAGAGGGGCTGCCCAGGGTGAGGTTGGCAGGGGCCAAGGGATCTGGAAAGCAACAGGGAGATAGTCACCCTCTGCGTGCCATGGCTTGCTGCTCAGTGCTGTGAGTTGGCTGCTTTGCCCAGGGATTCCTCATGCTCTGGCAATGCTGGACTCCAGCTGCCACTGGGCAGTGGGCAGGCTGGTCATCAGAGATCCTCCAGAGAGAAGCATGAGGACAAATGGGCAGACAGTGCATGTGGCTCTGAGCACAATATCCCCAGGGTTTGCAGCTGGACATGGCAGGGGAGATACCCAGAGCCTTTGAGGTCGGTAGATGGGATTGGATCTGGGTTGGGGAAAGAGAGAGGACAGTGCA